GTTTTTGTGCCAATACAAAGCTGTTTTTATTATTACAGCTTTTTGTTATTTTGTTATTATAGTTCTGGCTTTTTTTTTTTTTGCCTAGAATTGCTTTGACTATTCAAGGTCTTTTGTTGTTCCATGTAAAATTTTGGATGGTTTTCTCTGTTGGTAAAGAACTTCATTGGATTTTGATGGGAATTGTGTTAAATCTGTAAATCATTTTTGGCAGTATGGCCATTTTTCACAATATTAATTCTACATATCCATGAACATGGAAGTGGGGAGAGTGGAAAGCTTTGCCTTGTTTCTGACTTTAGAGGAAATGGTTTTAGTTTTGACCATTCAGTATGATGTTGCGGTTGGCCTGTCATATATAGCCTTTATTATTTTGAGGTATATTCCTTCTATTCCCATCTTTCCCAGAGGTTTTAACATGAATGGGTATTGTCCAAGGCTTTTTCTGCATCTATTGAGATGATCATGTAAGTTCTTGTCTTTGGCTCTTTTTTATTTTTATTTTTGTTGGTTGGTGGGGCTTGAACTCAGGACCTGGGGTTATCCCTGAGTTGTTTTGCTCAAGGCTAGTGCTCTACCACTTTGAGCCACAGTACCACTTCCAGTTTTCTGTTGGTTAATTGGAGATAAGATTCTCATGGAGGGGCTGGGAAGGTGGCTTAGTGGTAGAGCGCTTGCCTTGCATGCCTGAGGCCCTGGGTTCGAATCCTTAGCACTGCATAAGCAAAAAAGAAAAAAGCCAGAAGTGGCGCTGTGGCTCAAGTGGTAGAACGCTAGCCTTTAGCTGAAGAGCTGAGGGACAGCGCCCAGGCCCAGAGTTCAGGCCCCATGACCGGACCCCCACCCCACACCCCCCCCCCCCAAAAAAAAAAAAGATTCTCATGGACTTTCCTGCCCTGGCTGGAACTGCAACCTTCAGATCTCAGCGTCCTGAGTAGCTAGGATTACAGGTGTGAGCCACCAGAACCTGGCTGTTTTTGGCTCTTTTTTGAGATGTTTTATGTTTATTGATTTATGTATGTTATGAATTTGTTTTATAGATATCACATAGTTGGATCATTTTATTATCCACTCCATTATCCATACAGATTATCCACATCTGTATTTAGTTAGAGTATTTAGACTATTAAAAGTAGGTATTGCTACTCTTTCTGATTACTGGGCTTTATATCTGCCACTTTATTTTCTCTTACATATTTTGGTATCTTTTTTTTTTTTTTTTGTCGGTCGTGGGACTTGAACTCTGGGCTTGGGTACTGTTCTTGTGCTCTTCAGCTCAAGGCTAGCGTTCTACCACTTGAGCCACAGTGCCATTTCCTCTCTTACATATTTTGTATTACATTTTTATTTATCCAGAATATTTTGAGCATATTGCTTTGTGTAGGTATTTTAGTGATTGTTGTGGATATCACATTATTGTCATAGACCTTTCTGTTTTCTATGTGTATCAGTCTTCTACCACTGGAAACTAAGTAAATTAGTTGATTGTACCCTCCCACTTTAAATATGATTAAATATATTTTATATATGCTGAACATAATGGCATATGATTTTTCTTTTTTGTATGTGCAAGTACTTCAGCTTGAATCCTGCCTTGCCTTGCTATCTTTCTTGGCTTTTTCATTTATAGCTGGTATGCTATCAATTGAGCCATGATTTAACTGCCCTGGCTGGGTTTGAACAGTAATTCTCAGATCTCCCTTTCTTTTTTCCCTTCCCTTTTCCCTTCCTATTCTTGGTAGTAGCTCCAGGTTTCATGCTTTTTTTAGCATCTAGCAAAGGACACATGAATGAGAGTTGAAGGAAAGCAAAGGGATCCTTAACCCGTCTGCCACTCATTTTCTACCTTCCATAGTGTTTTTGTGATTGTCTATTGAATTATTTCCAGAGAAGGGGAGGGAAAAGTGCATTTTTGTATCATTGGCCCGAGCCTGGAAAATGTTTGGAAAGTAAGTTTTAAGTTTGGAAACTTAACTCAGGTGTGTTACTTTCTTTGGCTGTTAATATAAATTGTCAAATGAGAGTTGTGGATGTAAGAAGCAAGGAATAATATTTCTTAGAAAATACGGAATAAACTCGGGAATCTCAATTGAGAGATTATAGTTGTCCCTCATTGACTTTGTCATTTATCTACACACTTTCCATTAAGGCTTCCTTTTACCTATTCAAACTTCATTTCAGGACAGTGATCCATGGGCTGCTGAGGAAAATACGTATTGTGTAGCTGCTGAGTAAAGTATTTTGTTTGTGTCTGTTAGGTCCAGTTGGTTTGTGGTATTGTTTAGGTCTGGGGTTTCTTTGTTGATTTTAATTTGATGACCTATTGGTGAAAGTGGGGCATAAAAGTTTCCTATCATTGTGTTGGGCATTAAAGTCTGCTATCAGTAAAGTGCTGTCATTTGTTGAGGTCATTAAAGCTCCTATTTGTGTGAGCTTTAAGTCCAAGTGTTTTGTTTTGTTTTTTAATGAAGTTGGATGTCCTTTCATTTAGAACATATATGTTAACAATTATTATGTCCTCTTGATGGAAAGTTACTTTTATTAATATGAAGATGCCTTCTTAGTTTGCGCTGGCTAATTTAGGTTTGAAGTTACTTAATCAGGTGTATCTGAGTATAAAAAGTCCCAGAGGCTCTTCTGCTTGGGCTGGCTTTGAACTGAGATCCTTAGATCTCAGCCTTCTGAGTAGCTAGGACAGGAATGAGCCACTGACACTTAACTAGTTTTCTCCACTTTTTTCATGTTTATATTGATTTTTCTGTTTTGTGTCTAGGATATTTTTGAGAACCTTCTATAATACTGGTTTATATCTTAAACTTTCAGTTATCTTCTTTTGACTTCTATATTTATGTTGTTTTAATTATGGCCTATTGTGGAGAAGATTGTATTCTGGTCTGGTCTGTTTTTTTTTTTAAATGCCTCTTAGACCTGACTGGATTTCTCATTTTTAAGATTCAGGAAGTTTTCTGCTATTACTTTGTTTCATATGCCTTTAGATAACATTTCCTCCCCTTTACTAACTCTGTGATTCTCAGTCATTTAATGGAGTTTTGAAGTTCTTACAAATTCATTTAATTTTTTTGGACCCCTTTTATCTGTATTTTTTCTAGTTTTTTAAATTTGCAGGAGAGCTTTCCACTTTAAATATTTAAAATAAAAATAAATATAGACTGGCTGGGTATAGTGGATCATACCTGTAATCCTAGCTATTCAGAAGGCTAAGATCTGAGTGAGGATTGAGGTTCAAAGTCAGCCCAGGCAGTAAAATCTTCAAGTCTCTATCTCTAATTAATAATCACCAAAAAAACATGCCAGAAGTGGAGCTCTGGCTTTAGAATAGGGCATTAGCCTTGAGCAAAAAAAGTTCAGGGATAGTACCCAGACTCTGCGTTCAAGTCTCAGGACACAGACAGAGACAGAGACAGAGACACAGAGCAAGCAGGAAGAAGGCCTGTGAGTATGGTTACATCAGTGGACAAAAATATAACTCCTGTTCCTTCTTAGTTTACAATACAGTCTGCAGTTGTTTTTTGCTTTGAATTTTTAAAAGCGTTCTTTTTTTTTACCCTATAATTTAACCCTCAAACTTCATTTTATTTTGAGCTAGCATTTTGAAGCTCACTTATAGTTTTAGAGAAGGGCAGTCAGTTGCAATGAGAAGACTTTGGAATTTAGTGCTAGCATTAAAGGAATGTGCTCATTTTTGTTGCTTACTCTGTATCCCTAGAAAAAAAAAGATCTTTCTTACTTAGACCTATGTGGTCCAAGGAGCAATAGCATTGGACATTATTAGAGAACTTGTAAAAAGCTCCAGTCTTCCTGAATCAGTATATGCAAGTAACCAAGATAACTACATTGAGAAGCATCATATAGTAGTTATCTTGGATAGGTGTAAACTCAAGTTTCCTTGTATGTAAAGAACACATAATGCTTGCTACATAGTAACCATCTTAGTAACATCTAACATACAGTATATTCTATGCATGAATTTGTTGTGTGACTCCTTGTGCTAGCTTATAGGCATTGTAACATAGGGTTTATTAGCAGTTTATTGCTATATCCTATGTCTAGAGCAGGGCCTGGCCTATAGTAAACATTTTTTTAGTGAGTACAACTTATCAGACTCTGTCATTTGTGTTGCAGCTGTTTATTGACATTGTTATTTAGAACTATTTTCATTTATATGAGCATGAGAGTGAAAATCTGAGGGACATTTTTGTTGTCATAGAAAGTTCCATTGAGTTTTGCTGCTTTGACATCCACATTTCCTTTCTACCCTCTTTGAACTCATATTTCTAGATTATGATTCAAAACTGCCAACAGCTTCTCAGCCTAACCTTTAAAGTCTTTTATAGTTTTGTATACTTAAGAACTGTATTATATAGGAAGAGTCAGTCAAGTCACTACATGCACAGCATCTACTTGATCCTGTTGGTAACCTTTTGAGAGTTGAGGGTAAGAAGAATCCTTGGAAATTAGCTGATGGTTCTTTGCTGTGATGTATATAATAAAGATGTCTGTCTTGGACAAGAGTATTCTGTCTTCTGTCAGCAATCATGAAATAACAGGTCAACTATTGGCTTGTGAGGAGGATGAAATTAAACCCTAGAACCAACAGCCTTTTCGTATCTCATTGGAAACTCTTTAAAAATCCAGACTCTAACACCTGTGTATACTTTATAAGTGGATAGCCTGTTTATTTTAAAGCACTTAATGTATTTGTTTAATTTGCTTTACAATTTATGTCTTCATATATATATTTGTCTCCTTTCCTGATTATTTCCATAGGGTTGATTTCTAAACACTTAATGGCCCTTGGTAGCCAAGCTTGTTTTTTTTTCCCAGTGAAAATAAAGGTATTAAGAATTGAAAATATATGTATATGTATATATATACATATATCTATGTATATATGTGTGTGTATGTATGTGTATATCTATCTATCTATCTCTATATATAGATATATATACACACACACATACAAATCTCTCTTTCTTTAGGAGATACTACTGAAGGAGGCAAAGCTGAAATTACTGAATCTAAGTTGGAATCAGTTATCACTACCACTCCTGGAGATTCAGACCTTGGATCTCATTTATCTATGTCCTTTGAGGAATTATCTCGGTTGGCTGCAAGTTCTTCTCAAGAGTATACTATTGGTCAGCACATTGATACTCTTAGTCAGAAAGCTGTGACAGATAGTCATTTAACTGAAGAGAATCTGAAAGTCTCAGATATTTATGAGCCAGTTGACCAGAACACTGAGATAACAGTACCTACAACTTCTTACTTAGATACGCAGAGGGGTGGTAATTTATACCAGGAGGGTTTACCAGAAGGTTATCTAATTGGTCAGCCACTGACATCTGATGACCGAAAGTCTGGGATAGCAACAGTATCCTCTGTTCCCTACTCACCTAGAGATCAGCCTGGTATTTTCTACCAGCCAGTTGAGCCAAAAGGTCACTTACCTGAAGAGACTCTAAAATCTTCAGCTCCTCTTGGTCCTGCTGACCAGAAGACTGGGATATTACTTTCAACTAAAAATTCCTACTCACAAAGAAAACACCAAGAGAGCTTGCCAGTTAGTCACCCAACTGATTGGCCACTGACAACTTCAGCAGCTACAAAATCACCTGACCACATGACTGGTATACCAGGTGTAACCTTTTCTTCTTACTCACAAAGAGAGAAACCTGGTCTTTTATACCAGCAGCCTCTGCCAGGTAGTAACCTACCTGGAGAGACTCTGAAAGTTTCAGCCACTTTTATTCCAGCTGTCCAGAGGACTGGCATACCAACAGTAACCCCTACCTCCTATTCTCAAAGTGATAAGCCTGATACTTTCTACCAGCGGTCTCTGCTAGGTAGCCATCTACCTGAACAGACTGTGGAAGGTTCACTCCCTCTTACTCCAGCTGACCAGACAACTGGCATACCAACTGTAACTGCTGTTTATTTACAGAGAGATTGGTCTGATATTTTCTTTGAACAGTCTCGATTAGGTAGTTACCTACCTGAAGATACTCAGAAAGCTTCTGTTACTCGTAGGCCAGCAGACCAGAAGAGCGGCATACCAATTGTAACTTCTGTTCCCTACTCATACAGAGAGGAACCTGATAAGTCCTTCCAACAAGTGTTGCCAGAGAGTCATTTAAATGAGGAATCTCTGAAAACCTCAGGTATTATTGGGTCTGATGACAAGAAGACCAGGATACCTACAGTATCTTCTGCTTTATACTCAAATGGAGAAAAGTCTCATGTTTTTTATCATCAGGCCTTGTCAAAAAGTCATCTAACTGAAGAGTTGCGGAAAGTTTCAGTTAGTCCTAGACCAGGTGACCAAAAGATTGGTATGCCATCAGAATTGCCTAGTTCCTACTCTCATAGAGAGAAGCCTAGTATTTTTTTCCAACAGACGCTGCCAGGGAGTCATCTACTTCAAGAAGCTCTGAAAGTTGCATCTGATTCTGGATCAGCTGACCAGAATTTGGGGATACAAGCAGTACCCTCTAGGCCTAGTGTCATCTATCAACAGGAGTTGCCAGATAGTCATCAAGTAGAAAAGTCTTTAAAAGTTGTAGTTGTTCCAGGACCAAATGGTCAGAAGTCTGGAATATCAATAGTATCTTCTACTCCCTACTCACAGAGAGAGAAGCCTATCATTTTCTACCAACACACCCTTCCAGATAGAATTGTAGAGGCTAACAAAATTTTATCTGTTTCTGGATCAGCTAATCAAATACCTGGTGTATCAATAACACCCTCTACTTCCTACTTATGTAAAGAGAAGTCTGGTATTTTCTATGAGAAGAGGTTGTCACAGAGTCATCTAACTGAAGCAACTCTGAACATTTCAGGTGTATCTGGAACAAGAGACCAGAAAACAGAGACACCAATACCTTCTGCTTCCTATTTACAGAGAGAGAAGCCTGGTATTTTTTACCAGCAGGCTGTACCAGGTAGTCCTATACCTAGAGACTCTCTGAAAGTTTCAGTTGTTCCTGGTCCAGCTGACCAGAATACTGGAACACCTATAGTTGGTAAGGAGTCCATTATTTTCTATCAACATGCTTTGCCAGGTAGCCCTCTAACTAATGGCGCTTTGAAAGTTTCAGCTATTTCTAGACAGGCTAAACAGAAGATAGGGACACCCGTAGGACCTTCAGATTCCTACTTACTTGGAGAAAAGTCCATTTTCTACCAAGAGGGCTTGCAAGAGAGTCATTTACATAAAGATCCTTTGAAAGTTTTAGTTTTTCCTGAAGAAGTTGACCAGAAGCCTGGGATACCTCCTGTAACCTCTTCATCCTACTCAGGTCAACAGAAAACTATTGTTTCTTACCAACAGGAATTGCCAGATAGTAATCAGACTGAAAAGAATATGAATATTTCAGTTGTTCCTAGACCAACTGACCAAAAGTCTAGGATATCAACAGTACCGTCTGGAATTTCTTTACAACAATATTTGCCAGATCGTAGTGAAGAAGTTTTGAAAGTTTTAGGTGTTTTTAGACCTGCTGAACAGAACACTGGAATACAAATAGTAACCTCTACTCCTTACTCACATAAAGAGAAGCCCATTATTTCTTACCAGCAAGAGTTGCCAGATATTACTACAGAAGCACTGAAAGTTATAGGTGTTCCTAGACTTGCTGATGACATGTCTGGGATATACATAGTACCTTCTCCTGGCTACTCACAGAAAGAGGAACCTGTTATCTCTTACCAGCCAGAGGTACCATCTCTCATTGAAGGAACTTTGAAAACAGGGGTTTCTGGACCTAAAGAGCTGAAGACTGGTATACAACTAATGACCGCTAGTCCCTACTCTCATACAGAGAAGCCCAGTGGTTTTTCTCAGCAGGAATTGCCAAAAATTAGTAAAGAAGCTGCTGATGCTTTGGTTTTTCCTGAAACAAGTGACCCCAATATTGGAGTACCAACAGTACCTGTAAGTTACTACTCACACATAGAGAAGCCCATCGTTCTCTCTCAACCAGGGTTACCAGCCAGCCATCTCACTGAAGAGGCTCCGAAAGTTTCAGCAGTTTCTGTATCAGCAGAACAGAAGAAACCAACAGGACCTTCTAGCTCCTCTCAGAGAGAGAATCCCAGTGATTTTTACCAACAGACCTTGCCAGATGGTGATCTAACTGAAGGGTCTCTGAAGTCTTCAACAGCTCCTGGACCAACTGAGCAGAATAGGAGTCCTACAGTACCAAGTTCCTACTCTCATAAAGAGAAACTCAAGATTTCAACTGCAAATCTACTGGATGACCAGAAGACTGAGTTACCAACAGCTACCCATAGTTCCTACTTACAGAGAGAGAAGCCCAAGGTTTCAACTGTGATTGGATCAGATGACCAGAAGACTCCGTTGGCAGTTTTTCGTAGCTTCTATCCTCAAAAAGTAAAGTCTGGCATTTTCTTTCAACAGCAGTTGCCACATAAAGAACAAAGTAAAAATATTTCAACTGTCCCCGAACCAACTGATGTAAAAACTGGGATACCAATACCTTTACCTAGTTCTCATTTACACCAAGAGAAAGCTAGTGTTATTTCTTTACAGGAATTGCCAGACAGACATTTACCTGAAGATGTGCTAAAGGTTTCAACAGCTCCTGAGCCAGTGGACCAGAAAACGGTGTTGCCAACAGCTTCTTCCAGTTCCTTTTCACATAAGGAAAAAGGGAATAGTTTCTATCAGAAGGATTTGCCAGATAGACATCAAACTGAAAATTCTCTGAAGGGCTCAAGTGGTCTTGGGAAAGCTGAGCAAATTACTGGATTACCTACAGTTTCCTCTGGTACTTACTCACATGACAAGAAGCAAGAACTTGTATCAGAACATGTCCAAAGACTAGCAGATAATTTGAATTCTGACTCCAATGTCAGCTCAAACAATATGCTTTTAAATTCTGAAACTGATGATGGAGTTATAATAAGTAAGCCAGAATCTCAGAGCTTTGGAGATGTTGTCTCTGAGGAAATCCGGGATTCAGACAACGGTTCCAAAACGCTTAAAGAAATTCGGACTCTCTTAATGGAGGCAGAAAATATAGCTCTGAAACGATGCAATTTTTCTGCCCCCCTTGTCCCTTTCAGAGATGTTAATGATATTCCATTTGTACAATCAAAGAAGATGGTTTGCTTCAAAGAACCCTCCAAAACTGATGTAACTAACAATGAATTGTTGCAGAGACAAACATTTACAGAGGAAAGCCCAAGTATCAGATGTATACAGAAGGATATTGGCACACAGACAAATTTGAAATTCCAGAGAGGCATTGGAAATTGGGAGTTTATTAGTTCAACTACACTTAGAAGTCCTCTACCGGAAGCAGAAAGCAAACCCAGAGTGTCATTGGATGGACCTTTTAGGCAGTATGAAGCAGCCAGATCTATGATGAGGTCTGAACCTGAAGGCTATAATGGAACCATTGGGAATAAGATGATTATACCTATGATGACTATCATAAAAAATGATTCAAGTAGTGATGTAAGTGATGGAAATGGTTCCTGCTCATGGGACAGTAATTTACCAGAGTCTTTGGAATCAGTTTCTGATGTTGTTCTAAACTTTCTTCCATGTGTTTCACCAAAGACAAGCATAACAGATAGCAGAGAGGAAGAGTGTGTGTCAGACAGTGAGGATGGTTATGATAGTGTAGACTCACTGGCTGCACATGTGAAAAACCTTCTGCAGTGTGAATCCTCATTGAATCACGCCAGACAAATACTTAAAAATGCAGAGGAAGAGGAAAGTCGGGTACGAGCACAAGGTAAGAGCTGATCATTTGTGATAGGCACACTTTGGTTTATAAACATTGTGGTTGATAATTTGTTTAAAATGAAGATATTCCTTATTTTTCTGTAGAATTTTTGATTGCTTAACATTTTCCACCAGCAATCCAGAAAAAAAAATTTAACAAATGAGGTAGCTAATTATAGCATTAATAACACTAATTTGAATCTATGGCCTTAAGAAAAGTGGATTCTGATGTCAGATAGGAAGTAAAAAAGTAGATTGAGCTTCCAAGTTCCTAAAGGTGTTATGTTTCCCCAGTCCTTCCATTGTAGTTTGTTTGTTTGTTTGTTTATTGTCAGTCATGGGCTTGAACTCTGGGCCTGGGTGCTGTCCCCCTCAGCTCTTCAGCTCAAGGCTAGCGCTCTACTACTTGAGCCACAGTGCTACTTCAGTTTTTAGTGGTTTATTGGAGATAAGAGTCATGGGCTTTCGTGCCCAGGTTGGCTTTGAACCTCGATCCTCAGATCTCAGCCTCCTGAGTAGCTAGGATTATAGGTATGAGTTACCAGCGCCTGGCTGTATGTTTATTTTTGAAGCAGAAAAAGTCTGCAGTTTACTTTGCTGTGCATTATTTTGTGTCCTAAAATTATATATATTTATTTTATTTTCTTTGCTAATAAAATTCTTGGAGCTGATCTTAGACATTATGAAAAATAAAGACTAAGGTATTTTATACTATAGAATGGGTAAGGGATTTAAAAAATTTCATTTAGAAATACCATTAATTTTATTAATAGGTTCTCTTAAAAGGGAAAGAAATAGCTGGGTATCATTGGCTCACTCTGGTAATCCTAGCTATTCAGGAGGCTGAAATCTGAGGATTATGGTTCAAAGCCAGCCTAGGCAGGAAAGTCCTTGAGGCTTTTATCTCTAGTTAAACACCAAGAAGATGGAAGTGGAGCTATAGCTCAAGTGGTAGAGTGCTAGCCTTGAGCACAAAAGCTCCATGGACAGTGCCCAGGCCTTGAATTCAAGCCCCAGGACTGGCACAAAAACAAACAAACAAACAAAAAACTTAAGCAAACAAGAAAGTAACAACTTTTAAGACATGTTGTTGGAAGGGTAACTAATAAGTAATTCAGAAACTTGGGAATATTTGAGGTTAATTGTCTACACTCTTTCTTTTTCTTTTTCTTTTGGTTGGTTGTGGGGCTTGAACTCTGGGCTTTGAACACTGTTCCTGCATTCTTCAGCTCAAGGCAAGTACTCTACCACTTGGGCCACAGCACTACGTCCAGTTTTCTGGTGGCTAATTGGAGATGAGTCTCATTTTAAAAGAAGGGTGGGAAACGTTTGGTTCACAGACCATATAAGGCCATCTAAATCATTTGCTCTGGCTCTGCCATTTGGTTAGGTTCTGTCAAGGCCAACAATAGGTGGCTTCAGTGACTCTCAGAGTTTTTATTTTTATTTTTGGTCGGTCATGGGGCTTCAACTCTGGGCCTGGGCGCTGTCCTTATGCTCTTCAGCTCAAGGTGAGCGCTCCCACTGCTTGAGCCACAGCGCCACTTCCGGTTTTCTAGTGGTTTATTGGAGATAAGAGTCTCACGGTCTTTCCTGCCTGGGCTGGTTCTGAACCATGATCCTCAGATCCCAGCCTCCTGAGTAGCTAGGATTACAAGCATGAGCCACCGGTGCCCGGCTCTCAGAGTTTTTTTTAAAGCAAAATTCAGTAAATCTTAGGCTTACAAATGAGGTTACAAATATCAAAATGGCCCTTGACAAAAAAAAAAAAAAGAAACTTACCTTCCATTTTAAAATATCAGCTTTGGCAAAGGCACTGATGACACACGCCTGTTATTCTGTCTCCTCAGGATACTGATCTGAGGATCACAATTCAAACCCAGCTCTGAGAGAAAAGTCCCTGAGACTCTTAATGTCCAATTAACCAGTAAAATGCTAGAAGTAGAGCTGTGGCACAGATGACAGAGTGCCGGCTTTGAGTAAAAAAGCCAAGTTAGAGTGTTAGGATATGTCTAGGCCTTAGTACCCACTCCCAAAAGCTAGTTTTCATACAAGTGACAGTAACTGTCAATGACAGTAAAAGGAGGTTGAATTCTTAGAGACTCGCTTGATTGTAATGAAGGTTGAGATAAAACTGACTGAATACTTTTATTTAATGTGACTTTTTTGAATCTGTGGTATTTTTGAATCTGTGAATCTTTTTTACTCTGTAACTTAGAAAATCAGACTTTTGGGCTAAGCATAGTGGTACATACCTATAATCCATAGCATCATTGGAGAAGGCAAGGCAAGAGGATTACCTTCAAGAGACTGTGTAGCTTAGACGACATCTCAAAAAAATCACACCTTTCTGTGAAATCATCCTTCAAGAATTTTGTCCTGTCATTGAGGGCACATTGGGATAGCTACTAAGTTGTATATGTTGATTTTCTTTGCTAGCATAATTATTGAAAAATGATTACTTTTACATTGTATCTCAAATGTTTCTATGCTTTCTCTCTAGCCTGGAAGCTGAAGTTGAATTTAGCACATGATTATGGATACCCCATTTCAGAATTAAATGAAGATGACAGAAGGAAAGTAGAAGAGATCAAAGCAAAGTTGTTTTGTGAAGGGAGAACAACCGACTTCTCAGAGGTATAAAGAAATCTAATAATGAAAGCAAAATGTAAAAGAAAGGGAGATGGAAATTGGATCTCTTACTTGATTTCTTATGATTCTAACTGCTGATGATTTTGGATCTTGGGCTAAAATGTTAGGAGTCTTAATTCTTCCAAGGTTAAGATTTAAGGATTAGATTCTGGAAATGTTTATTGCAAATTCATCTAGAGAGAAAAATATAACTTATAAAAATAAGAATTTATTTATTTGTATGCTTGCAGGCTCCCGTGGCTCATGCCTGTAATACTAGCTACCCAGGAGGCTGAGATCTGAGGATTGTGATTCTAAGTTAGCCTTGGCAGAAAAGTCCATGAGTCTTAGACTACTCAGAAAAAGCTGGAAGTGGCGCTGTGGTTCAAGTGGTTAGATCACTAGCCTTGAGCAAAAGAGTCAGGGACAGTGCCTAGGCTTAGTTAAAGCCCCAGGAATGATGCACACAAGCACATACACACATTTTCCTGCGTGTCCCCTGTCCCCTTTGGGGTTTTCCCTCAGGGTCCTTGCATTCTCACTTGATTTTTTTTGCTCCTGGGTGGTACTCTGCCATTTGAACAACAACTCCAGTTCTAACTTTTTGCTTGTTAATTTGTGATGAGTCTCTTGGATTAGTCTTCTGCCTTGGCTGGCTCTGAACCTCAGTCTTCAAATCTCAACCTCCTATGTAGCTAAGGTGGGAGCCACAGACATCTGCCTATTCTTAGTTTTTCTTATAGTTAACATAAAATGAAAGTGAAGGGGCTAGGAAGGTGGCTCGGTGGTAGAGCGCTTGCCTTGCATGCCTGAGGCCCTGGGTTCGATTCCTCAGCACCACATAAGCAAAAAGAAAAAAGCCGGAAGTGGTGCTGTGACTCAAGTGATAGAGTGCTAGCCTTGAGCTGAAGAGCTGAGGGACAGCGCCCAGGCCCAGAGTTCAGGCCCCATGACCGGACCCCAAAAAAAAAAAAAAAGTGAAGCCTAGCTAGTTTCATTCATTCATTTACACACACACACACACACACACACATCTATATCTCTCTATATATATCTATATATATCCATGTATGTATATATTTATACTTTCTCTGTTTAAGAAAAGTTACATAAACTGAGTGTGGTGTGGTGATGTGTACCTGTTATCCCAGCTATACAAGAAGTATAAATAGAAGAACAACATTCAGACTGGGCCAGGTATGTACATAACAGCTTTTTTTTTTTTTTTTTTGGTCCAGTTGTGGGGCCTGAACTCTGGGCCTGAGCGCTGTCCCTTAGCTCTTCAACTCAAGGCTAGCACTCTACCACTTGAGCCATAGCGCCACTTCCGGCTTTTTTCTTTTTGCTTATGTGGTGCTGAGGAATTGAACCCAGGGCCTCAAGCATACAAGGCAAGTGCTCTACCACTGAGCCAACTTCCCAGACCACGTAACAGCTTTTTTAAAAAAGCAAAAGCAAACAAAAAATCCACAGAATTAAAGCAGAAATGAAAGAAGTTGGAGATGTGGCTCAAGTGGTAGTGTACCTGCCTAGAAAACATAAGACCTGAGTTCAGTACCGCCAAGTACTATCAACTGTTTTCTTGGGGGGAAGGGCTGGTCCTGGGGGTTGAACTCTGGGCTTGGCTCTGTTCTGTTTTTTTTTTCTCAAGGTTTGTACTCTATCACTTGATCTACAGCTCCACTTCTAGCTTTTTGGTGGTTAACTGGAGATAGGAGTCTTATGAATGGTGATCATCACATATCAGTCCCCTGAGTAGGTAGGTTTACAGGCTATGAGCCACTGGTGGCTGGCAGTTTCCCTTTTTTCTTCAGTCCTGTGACTTGAACTCAGAGCTTGGGTACTGTGAGTTTTTTTGCTCAAAGCTAGCATTCTACCACTTGAGCCTCAGTCTTCATATATATACTTGAGCGACAGCTCTACTTCTGGTTTTTTGTTTGGGCTGGCTTTGAACTGCAGTCAGCACCTGGCAAGTGAGAACTTTCTAAAGCTAGTTAATGTGTATTTTTTTTTTTTTGTCATGTTCCCAACATTGTTTTCTAGGAAGCCTTGATTTCTTTTTAGCAGAAACTGTTTAGATACTAAGATCTTGGTGTGATGTGATCTTATGAGGTCATTTCCTTTATGTCCTCTTAGTAGATAGTATGTATGAATGTAATTAAACACACACATATATACACACATTCTCCCTATTCTCTTCTCCTTCCTCTTCTGTTCCCCCCTCTCCAGATGATAAATAAATACTCAGAGTTACTCTGTTTTCTTTGAGATCACACCGACTCCCACATTGTCACATTGAGGCCAAGCTTCCAACACCCTTGGTGGATACACATTGTTATTTTATATTCCTATTAGAATGTATAAGTGACCCACTATTATTCCACATCTTCACCAACATTGATATTATCATTATTTTTCATATTTGCTATCCTGGCAGGTACATGGGTGATACCACATTTGGGTTTTAATTTATATATATTTGTTAGTGATTTTACACTTTGCTTCTTTATATCCTTATTTTGCATTGATTTTTATCCTGTTTAATGAATTATCTATGCTTTGCCTATTTCCTATTTAGATTGCCATTTTCTTCCACTGTTGTATATTTAGTCTGTTTGCAGTGGTAAGGTTTGAATTTTGAGCCTTGCATATGTTAGGGAAGCACTCTACCATTGAGCTATACCCACAGTCCCATTGAATTTTGAGTTGCTTATATATGTTAGATATAAACCCATCTCTGGATATGAAGTTTGCAAATACCTTCTTCCAGGTTGTAGCTGGAAGTAGACAGTGCATCTTATTATTGCTGAATGGAAATAAAAGTTCAGACTCCCTTATTGACATGATAAGGGGTAGCAGGGATAAAAGCAAGTGCTGGAGCTGGGTGCCAGCAGCTTGTATCTGTAATTCTACTATTCAGGAGGTTGAGATATGAGGATCATGTTTCAAAGCCAGCCTGGGCTGGTAAAACTGTGACACTCTTATTTCCATTTAACCACAAAAAAGCCAGAAAGTGGAACTGTGCAGTCCTTGAAGAGAAAGATTAGTGATCTTGTCCAGGCCCTGAGTTCAAGCCTTAGGACCATCACACATACACACAATGAAAATCAAGTCATGGGCTCCTGAGATGTGTTACTTCATTTTATCCTGTTTTTTTTTTGTTGTTGTTGTCCCCCCCCTCCCCCTTGCTGGGGGGAGGGAGGTTGGTTGTGGGGCTTGAACTCTGTCTTCAGTGCTGTCCCTCTGTGCTCTTTAGCTCAAGGTGAGTGTTCTACCACTTGAGCCACAGCACCACTTCCAGTTTTCTGGTGGTTAATTGGAGGTAAGAGTCTCACGGACTTTTCTGCCTGGGCTGGCTTTGAACTGTGGTCCTCAGATCTCAGCCTCCTGAGTAGCTTGGATTACAGGCATGAGCCGCCATCGCCTGGCTCTTCATTCTAGTTTTACAAGAAGAGAAGCCTAGGCTTCTGATTTGGCTTTTGTTTAGTATTGGTATAGGTAAGACTACAATTTTTTCAGGATTAGTTGTATAAAGATTAAAGGCTTTCTGTCTTATTTTGTTGTTAGCATGTATATAATGCAAATGGGCTTCCTTGTGATAATTGTATAGCTGTGTATAATATACTCTACCAAGTTCATCTCCTCTATTATATTCCTTTATCCTCTCTCTCTTGCCCTCAAAAAGTATTTGGTGAATTTTCTTTTTCTTTTTTGTTGTGCTGGTCCTGGGGTTTGAACTCAGGGCTTCAGTTCCTGAGCTTTTTTGTTTAAGGCTAGCAATCTGCCACTTGAGCCATAGTTTAATTTCTGGCTTTTTTTTGAGGGGGGAAGGGATGCTTAATTGGAGATGAGAGTCTCATGGACTTTCTTGCCCAGGTTGGCTTTGAACTGTGATCCTCAATTCTTCAGCTTTCTGAGTAGATAGGATTATAGGCATGAGCCACTAGTGTCTGACTTTTTTTAATCTTTTAAGTTGTACAAGGGGATTTCAATTTTATTTTGCTTTCTTTGTATGTGTGTTTAAAAAACTTGAGGGTTAGCCAGGTGCTGGTGGCTCATGCCTGTAATCCTAGCTACTCAGGAGGCTGAGATCTGAGGATCACAGTTCAAAGCCAGCCCCGACAGGAAAGTCTGGAGACTCTTGCCTCCAATTAACCATTAGAAAAATGGAAGTTGTGCAGTGACTGAAGTGGTACAGTGTTAGCTTTGAGCTGAAGAGTGCAGGGACAGCGCCCAGGCCCAAAGTTCAAGACCGATGACCGACAAACAACAACAACAACAAAAACAACCTTGGGGGTTGGCTGGTTGCAGGTGGCTCATGCCTTAATCCTATAGCTACTCAGGAGGTTGAGATCTGAGGACCCCAGATCAAAACTAGCCTGGACAGGGAAGTCCATGAGACACTTATCTCCAGTTATCTACCAAAAAGCCAGAAGTAGAGCTGTAGCTCAAATGCTAGAGCAATAGCCTTGAGTTAAAAAAAATAATAAAAGCTCAGGGACAGGCCTAATCCCTGAATTCAAGCACTAGAACATGCACTAAAAGAAAAAGAAAAAAGAAAACAATAACAAAACTTGAGGATCTACTTCATGCCTTTAATATCTTGTCATTTGTTCTGCCTCTGCCCATACAGTTCTCCTTTTATAGCTCATACCTTTACTGTTCTTCATTGTTGTTGTTGTTGTTTTAAAACCTAGTTTTTGTTAGAGATTTGGCTATGCCTATTGATCCTGTGTTTGCTGGATTCTTCAACTTTGGATGTTTGAGATGAAAAGAAAATCCAGAGGTGTCATCACCATATCATTTTCCAAGTTCTAAAATCTGTAGCCAGTCTTCTTGCCTTCTCTGTATGTTCTGTATTGGTTTCCTCTGTAATGACCAGAGGATTTAGTTTTATATAGGAAGACTAGGAAAAACTATATCTTCATCAAGTGAAAAATACATAAAAGTTTAAAATTTTTGTATGAAATAAAATTTCTATATCATCAAATAGAATGCTAAAGTATAACACATTTAGAGATAAAATACAGAAACTTGAGTGAAATTTTGTATGTATGGTAGCCTTGAGCACTGACTCTATGCCCTTGGAAAAGGCACTAATTCTTTTTCCTGTTTTGGGGGAATAAAACAGTGGGTTGTAGATTAAGCCTCTGCAGTAGAGAGCCAAAAATAAATAGAAATTAGTTTTGAATGGCTCAAATAAAGCAGAATTCTCTTTATGTCCTAGTCTAGGCTTGAAAAGTGAGCTCTGTTCCTTGAAATCATCCAAAGGCCCATGTTGGCTGGACAACTAAACTATCCTTACCCATGACACCATGGTTGTTCTTGGCATCAGCATTTTCAGGTGACAAGAGTAATTGTGATGGATCATAATGAAGCCCATTATTCTGTAAATTAAAAAAACATTAAAAGGAGTAAACTGGTAGTACAGGAGGAGAACATGGAGGACAAGAATTGGACTTTAAGGACAAGAAGCTGAAGCTAACTATTAATGATTTTTGCTCCTATTAGACTAAAGTTGGTCATATGATCACAATTAGCCTCAAAAGAAGAAAATATATACAATTTCGTGGCTATGTGGCCAACAAAAGTTTGGTGAGTTAACTAAATAGAAGAAAGTTAAAATTGTGCTGGAGGACAATAATAGTTTTGTTCTGATACTTTGCTAGAAAATTGTAGAACTTTACTAAATGGTTTTAGTAGTTAGTAGAGTGTAATTGTCATTTCTTGCTGTTTTTGACCTGCCATAGGTGAATAAATGATCTTCATGGTCCGATTATAGCACGAATAGAGAACTGATTTGTATAGTATAACTGTTTGAACTACTTTAGGTAAAAATCTATTTGTATCTTCTTGGGTTTACAGAGTCCACGAGGAATAGGATGTCCACCTGAGTCTGTATGCAGTCACATTATTATTGAGAGCCATGAAAAAGGATGTTTCAGGACTGTGTCTACTCAACCACCACAAGTGAACAGCCACCCTTGTGTTTCTAGATCTGTTGAACCCTCAGAAGTGATAAGAGGACGACGTAGCCCAGCACCCTGGAGAAACAGACACATCAACTTTTCTAAATCACTAGATCAGAACAACCCCCATCTCAAAGTTTGGAATTCCTTGCAGTTACAAAGTCATCCCCCTTTTCAAAACCTTATGCATGATGACTTCAAAATTAGCAAGAGTTTTGGAATGCCATTCCGTGAAAACATAGATCCTTGGTTGTCAGAGATAGAACCTGCTTTTGTGCCACCTAAGGAAGTGGATTTTCATTCTTCACCACAAATACAGCCCTCAGAACCCATGAAACAGTTTACTACTTCCATCACTTTTTCATCTCACCGACATTCTAAATGCATTTCAGATTCCTCTGTTTTTAAGGTTGGTGTTACTCAAGGTAGCCAGTATACTGGAGCACCTGTGGGGGTATTTAATTCACATGTCATTGAAGAGCAAATTTCTCCTAGAGATCTTAAACAGAAAGCCTCTTCCCCTTCATCAATTAAAAAACTTAGTTATTTACCAGATAGAGAAATGACTATTTTAGCAGAAGGGAGTAGGCAAAGCCAAACATTACCTGTTGATTCTGAGCATTCTCACCAAGAAGAAAAACTCTTAGAAAGATCAGGTTTTAAAGTCAGTCATTCTGAGCCCAGAAATGGTACCAATTCCAAGGAAGTTCAGCTTTCTGATAACAATACTCTAATTAGCATGGACAGACCGACTCCAGATCTTCCTTCGCACATTTTTCTTGAACAACGAGAGCTCTTTGAACAAAGTAAATCTCCACATACAGATCACTCTGTGAGAAAACACCATTCTCCCTCTTGTCTAAACCTTCCTCCTTGCATTTTTCTTGAACAAAAAGAACTCTATGAACAAAGCAAAGTCCCACATGTAGATCATGAGATGAGAGAAAGCCATACTCCCCTTCCTCAATGTCAGGATTCTGTAGCTTCAGACCTTCATTCTCCTATTTGTCTTGAACAACATCAGAGCAAAGCCCCAGGTGTAGATGCCCACCGTTTCCTTTTTTCGCAAGGTCAGGATTGTGTGGTAGAAAAGACTCAACATAGACCTAACTCACCCATTTCTAATTTGATAAATGTTGAAGCCAAGTTCAATAATGTGATATCCCAGTCGGCCCCCGATTACTGTCAATTAGAAACATCTGCATCTACTCCACCATCAAATAGAAAAGCACTTTCATGTATTCGTATAACTCTTTGTCCCAAGACTCCTTCCAAGTTGGATAGTGGAACCTTAGATAAAAGGTTTCACCTGTTGGATCCTGCTTCTAAAACAAGGATGAATAGTGAGTTTAATCGTGACCTACAATATAAATCTTCGGAATCATTGGAACCAACCTCCAAATTATTGACCAGTAAACCTCTAGCACAGGATCAAGAATATGTAGGTTTTCTAGGACCTAAAACTCCTCCGGACTTGCAAGCTGTACAATCTCCTTTTCCAGATAGTAAGACTATTATTCAGGACTTGAAAAACTTACCTTCTCAGAATAGCCAGATAGTTACCTCAAGGCAAACACAAGTGAACATTTCAGATTTGGAAGGATATTCCAAACCAGAGGAGACTCCGGTATCAGCAGATGGGTGAGTCTCTTTGTGATAACCAGCAAGCTGATGAAATTTGTGAAGGGTTTAAATATTTAAGCAAATGTAAGTGCTTGGGGAAAATGCAGTGCAATTTTTCTTAAGGGAGGTTATATCTGCTAATATGCAGAAGTCTTTCAAGAAATATGTAAATAAGAGCATATGAGGGTACTGTATGCTGTCAAAGGCCTTTTTTCAAGATAATAGCAAGTGTTGTAAGGAACTGAATTACTGTATAATCTTTGATCATTCAATGGTACTAATGATTCACTAATTGATTTTATGTTGGAAATGTTCTGAAGATCTCCTTTGAAGGGTTGCATGTTGTCTTAGTTGTGTCTTCACGTCACTGTGACCAAATATCTGACAACGTAAGGGAAGAAAGACTTATTATGGCTCTTGGTTTTTAGAGGGTCCAGTCCATGGTTGCTTGACCCTATGGACTTACGTACATCATTATAGCTACTGGAGCATGTGGTAGAAGAGGGTTAATCTCCTAAGTATTTTTTAATCCAGTCAAGTTGAGCTCGCCATTACATGTGTGTGCATGCTTTTTTTGTGTGTGTATCTCTCCTGCTTTCTCTCCCTCTTAATTTTATTTCATAATTTTTCTAAAATGTTTAGTATTTATAAGGAAGACAAAAGCAGCTTTATAGTGGGGAATCCTGGCAGATAACTACTTTAGCCATATGTTAATTTAGCATCACTAGTATCACTTAATGCATATCATCATAATTTCTTTCTGATATGCCCACCTCAAATTGTATTACAGGGAATGAAACCAAACTTAGCAATAAATGTATTAAACTGATCTTATTTAGGCTACTTTTAACACTTTGTTATTTAATGACAAAGTTTAATGAGTTTTATTGTGGCTAGTTGTTTGTATCTTATGGTTTAAAAAGCAACATACCACAGTGAAAAGAACCCTGGACTTCGAAAGGGCAAAAATTCTTATATCTGCTATGGTAGTTAATGGCCATAAAACTTAAATATCCTATTTCATTTAGTCTACATGACAATCCTGTGAAGTTAGTGCTAATATTTCTGTTTATTCACTAGGAAACTGAAATTGGCATGGGCTACTTGTACTAAGTGAGTCTGTAAGAAAAAAGAGGAGATAATCCAATGTTTAATCAAAGCAAAAACTTGCTTTCTTATATAATACTACTATCTCTCTCACAATTATGAACACTACTCCTGACATTTTTAGCCACAATCTTGGACAACTTACTAAATCTCATACTCCTGTGTGAGAATGGTGGAAGGAAAATGAACATCAGTCTTGTTTCAGGATTAAAAATGGTAGGAGACTCTAGAACTCAGTGCTGATGATTTTTAAAATGCTTAAAAATTAGAAAGTCAACAAATTTTGTACAATACTGAAATCTTTCAAAGTTTAAATGCCAACTTACTGGAACTGAATTCCTCAAAAACTGATAAAGCAGCCAGGTGCTGATGAGTCACATCTGTTATCATAGCTATTCAGGAGGCTGAGATTCCAAGAATTGCAGTTCAAAGCCAGACTGGGCAGAAAAGTCTGTGAGACTCCAAAATAGCTAGAGAAAAGCCAGGATGGAATATGTATAGTTCAGATAGTTGAGAGACAGACAAGTAAGGTGTACAAGCACATGGCCCTGAGTTCAAATCCAGGTACCAAGAAAATAAGAAAAAATAAAAAAAAATCAGATAAAGTTAGGAATGAAAAGAAAATAATAGATGATTATAAAAATTATAAAAATGAACCTAATAGCAATGCCATTTGCTTAGAATGTATTAAATGTCAGGCATGATGAATACTTATATTACTTTATATTTAGTATAATCATTGGGAATAGATAGGATTGCCTCAATTTTAGATATTTTTTAAAACATAAGACGTAAGAGAATTTAAGTGTTTTTAGATCACACATAGCCATTTCATGGATTTGAACCTGGGTTTGTCAGACTGTGTGTATGCATAGTTCTACTTTTTGAGGACCTTCTATACTGGTTTCTGTAGTGGCTGGATTAATTTACATCAACAAGTATAAAGGTTCCCCCCCCCCACCCTTTTTTTTTTTTTTGCTGGTGTTAGGGCTTGAACTCAGGGCCTAGGTACTGTTGCTGAGCTTTTTGTTCAGGTTAGCACTTCACCACTTGAGCCACAGCTTCACTTGAGGCTTTTTTTGGTAATTATTTGGAGATAAGAATCTCATGGGCTTTCCTGCTTGCTGGCATTGATATATAGGTCCTCAGATCTCAGTCTTCTAGATAGCTAGGATTACAGACATGAGCCTCCAGCTCCCAGTTTGAGTTTCATTTTTAAAGGTCTAGTAAAATTTTGTAGTGAATCCATCCATTCTTGGGATTTCTTTGTTGGGAAACTTACTGCTTCAGTGTCTAATTATTAGGTATCTGCTTAAGTTGTTTATATCTTCTTGGTTCAAGTTTGGTAGGTCATATGGTCATCTGTATCTAGAAATCTACATTGTTTTCTAGATTTTTTTAGTTCATTAAAAATGTCTTTCTGATAATCTGGATCTCATTGTTGTCTGTTGTAACATCACCCATTTCCTCTCTAATTTCATTAACTTTGTTCTCTTGATTCTTCTAACTAGGAATTAGACATAACTTCTTGTTTTATTCTTTGTGTGTTGTGATTTTTTTTAGGATTCCATTTTATTAGTTTCTGTCCTGATCTTTATCTTTTCAACCTACCAATTTTTAATTTGGTTGTTTTTGTTTTCCTATGAGGTGCATCTGCTGGATTATCTGTTTGAGATCTTTGATTTTTTTTTTTAAATATAGGTGCTTATTGCTATAAACTTGCTTGTTAGAACTGCCTTTGTTTTATCTGGCAGGTTCTGGTATGTTGTATTTTTGTTTTCATTTGATTCTAGGAATTTTATAATTGCCTTCCAGATTTATTCAATTTTGGTTATTTAAAAGTATATCATTCATAGACTGGGCATTGGTGGGTCATGCACCTGAAATCCTAGCTACTGAGGAGGCTGAGATCTCATCATGGTTTGAAGCCATGGGCAAGAAAAGTATATTGAACTCTTATCTCCAATTAGCCAGCAAAAACCCCCCAGAAGCAGAGCTCTGGCTCAAGTGGTAGAATGCTAGCCTTGAGTGAAAAAGCTGAGAGATAATGTTTAGACTAGGCCCTGAGTTCAAGCCCCGGTACTGGTGTTTACACACAAATGTATAGTGTTCAATCTCCCTGTGTTTGTATACTTGTCTTAGATAACAACTTCAGATTTTTTTTTTTGTATTAACAAATACAAATTCTCTTCATCTCCATTTATTTCTCTTCTCACTAAACTCACATCCCAAATGTTCTTTTTTACATTGCTGTCATTCATTGTTTAAAATTATATGCTAATTGTTCAAAAGAGTTTTACATTTCACAATTCATATATACATGCTTTAATCAAACAGATCCTCTTATGCAATTTCTTCATCTCCCGACCTTGTTATTCAATAGCATTCAATGGATTTCATTCTGCTATTTTCGTTTCAGATGATGTATTTTGATATTTTTGTATGCTTGTCTCTGAGGCTTGAATTCATGGTCTGGGTGTGCCCCTTAGCTTTTTCACTCAAAATTAGTGCTGGACTCTTTGAGCCAAAGCTCCATTCTGGCATGTTGGTCATTTATTGACTGGTTTTACAGGCTTTCCTGCCTGGACTGGGTTTGAACTTCACTCCTTAGATCTCAGACTCCTAAGTAGCTAGGATTGCAGATTATTGGCACCCAGCTATTTGATATTTTTCACCCTCTTAACATCTGCAATCCCTGCAAATAGTCCCACAATTACAAACATATTCTCTCTTTATGTGTATCTATGCGTGTTTGTATGTATATGTATGTTTGCATGTATGTTTTATCTTTTAGACCTAGTGTCCACATAGGAGAGAAAACATGTGACTTGTGTCCTGAACCTGGCGTACTTTCCTTAACATGATGAGAATTCCATCTATTTTCCTGAAAACCGAATTTTTTCTTTTTCTTTTTTTCTTTGGGTCCGGTCGTGGGACCTGAACTCTGGGCCTGAGTGCTGTCCCTCAGCTCTTCAGCTCAAGGCTAGCACTCTACCACTTGAGCCACAGCACCACTTCTGGCTTTTTTCTTTTTGCTTATGTGGTGCTGAGGAATCGAACCCAGGGCCTCAGGCATGCAAGGCAAGCGCTCTACCACTAAGCCACCTTCCCAGCCCCGAATTTTTTCTTTATGGCTAAAAATTATTCCATTTTGTGTGTGTGTTGGTGGTGGTGGGGTGCTATTTTGGGCTGTGTCCACAGCTTAGATACTGTGAAAAGTGCTGCAATAAATGGGTATGCATGTGCCTGTATTATATCCTGACTTACATTTCTTTGGATATATGCCCAAGACAGATATCACTAGATCATATAGTAGTTCTGTTTAGTTTTCTAAAAAACCTCCATACTGATTTCCATAGTGGCTAATAACAAAGGTTTCTTTTTTCCTGAATTGTTTCCTGCATTTACTGTATGTGTTGCTTATGAAAGTCATTTTGACTGGAATGACATGAGATTTCAGTATTGTTTTTGATACAGATTTCTTTAAGGCTAAGGATGTTGAACATTGCTTCATGTGTTTACTGACCATTTGTAGTTTGGAGAGGTGTCTATTCAGTTTATTGGCTTATATGTCAATTGTGTTGTTGATTCCTGGTGAGTTTAGTTTTTTGAGCTCCCTGTATAGTCTGGTTATTATTCCCTTTTGATGTATAGCAAAAATTTTCTGTCTTTTCAGTCCAGTGACTGCAGAAGCTTTTCAGTTTGATGCAATCCCATTTGTCAGTCTTTGCTTTTCTTTGCTGAGCAATTCAGCAAATTCAGTTCTGTTCAGGAAGTTACTACCAATAAGTTGTATTTTGTGTTCTTGTAGTAGTTTCAAAGACTCAGGTCTTACATTAAAATACTTAATCCACTTTGATTTGATATTAGAACAGGATAAGAGATAGAAATCTAGTTTCAGTCTTATGAAT